ACCCAGTGGAGTGGCCCACAGCCACTGCAAATACCTGCTCCAAATTCCCACTGGAACTGAACAGGCCTGGCAATGGCAGAGATGGTGCAGGTGTGCCCATGCAAGAGCAGGAAGATTCTTTGCTGCTGTCCCCATCTCTTTTTTGTCACTGTGGGTGTTGCAAGGCACATCTGTACCCCCCAAAGAGGGGTCACCCCTCAGTGCTGCCCCCGGGGTTAATCCCAGCTCCCTCCTCGTCCCTCAGAAATACGTGCAGGACGTGTTACAGGAGCAGCTGGCCCAGACCGTGTTCAAAGCTCTGAAGGAGCAGGGAGGCCACATCTACGTCTGCGGGGATGTCACCATGGCCGGGGACGTCCTCAAGGCCGTGCAGCTCATCGTGAGGCAGCAGGGCCAGCTGTCAGCAGAGGAGGCAGGAGCCTTCCTCAGCAAGCTGCGGGTGAGTGCTGTGTGCCACCGCTGCCACCCCTGCATGCCACCACTGCCACTCCTGCCAGGGGCACTGCACCTGCTGCCTGCCCCCTGTGCCCAGGGAGGGTCAGCAGAGGGACATGCCAAAGGTGTCTGTGTGCAGGGAAGTCACCTGGCTCCTCTGGGCAGCGGGTTGAGCACCGGTGCCAGCGCTTTTGGGTGCTTCTGGCAGGGCTTGTTGGCCATCCATCACAAAATGGATTTATCAGGGCATTTTGTGGGTCCCTGCTGCAAATCTCCCTGTCTGTGTGCCCTGTACCAGACATAAAGGATGAAGCTGAAGCTTAAGTGAGCTGAGTTTAGGACACAGACCCACGGATGGATGCTGGAACAGCTCTGCTTCTCCCCAGGAGGATAACTCAGCATGATTCCTGTGGGATTTCCCCTTCTGAACCATCTCCCCTCCTCCATCCAGGCCCCATCCAAGGGATCCCAGAGCCTCTGCCTGTCCACAGCCTGTGCCCCTGCCAGCCAGGAATTTCCAGCAGCTGAAGGGGTCTAAAGCCCCACTGTGCCCCAAGTGTGACCTTGGGGAGGTCCCTCTGTCCCCTCATGACAAAGCCCAAACCGTCTCCTGTGCTTTTGCTGCCTCCCCACCACGCAGGGTTTTGCTGGGGCTGACCCTGAGTGCTCACCCATGCCCTTTTTCCCTCTGCCACCCTCCCTCCCAGGATGACAGCCGGTACCACGAGGATATTTTTGGAGTCACCCTGCGCACGTACGAGGTGACAAACCGCCTTAGATCCGAGTCCATCGCCTTCATCGAGGAGAGCAAAAAAGACACGGATGAGTGAGTCCACACCTTTGTTTTAACCCCTGCAGCCACCTCAGGGGCTGGGAAAGGATGGGAAAGGAAGCTTTGGCTTTTGTGCACACCTTGAAGCAGAGGCTGAGGAAGGCACTGAGTTTTGCTCTGGAATAGCTGTCACCTCTCTAGGATAAACCCCAACTTATTGCAGTGGTGTGCTCAGACCTGACAATCCCATCCAAAGGAAAATGGTCCTGCCTGCTGCCTGCTTTCAGGCTGGCAAAACCCACAGGCAGGGGTGGCTCTCCCCAGTTGCTGGCTCCAGATGTTCAGCTCTCCATGCCCCTTCAGGAAAGATCCAGAGATTTTTCCCTCTGCTGTTGCAAAAACAACCAGAAGTTAAAAAAAAAAAAAAAAGAAATTTTGACATTTGCCGTGTTTGTTTCTGCTCTACCAAGTCCTGCCATTTGCTCAGCTTGGTCGTGGTGGGATTTTCCCTGGCTGAGCAGAAGGATTATTTAGGATAAAGGCTGGGCAGCTGCATGGATCGTGCTCCTTGTGCTGGCCCTTGGTAGCTTGGGGTGAAACCCCTTCCCTGTGTAGTGCCTGGAGTGGGTTTCCCCACATCCCTGAGGCTTGGCAGGAATTTTTCTCCAAGGAATCACATCCTCCGGGGTCTGGACTCTACCAGAGTGCCTCAGTTTCCCACCTGTGGATAGGGCTAAAGGTCACCTTGCTGCCCAGCCCGCCCAGCTCTGTAAACTCCTGCCCACAGCACAGAAAGGCCAAGTTGGGATGATCCCTGTGCTCCTCGCTGCTCCCTCTAAGGCCAGCCTTTCTCCCCTTTCCCTTGCAGGGTTTTCTGCTCCTAACTGGACCCTTCGCCCCCAGGGGATGCCAAACCAGTCCCAGCACCTGCTGCCCCCTCCAGCTGGAGGGCACTGGGTTTTGTATTTCACGGACACGGTGGCTCCTTTCCCAGGGGAACTGCCCATGGAAAGCGCTCTGTCTCTCGTCCTGTTCTTGTGTCCTGATGATGATGATGATGATAATGATGATGACTTTTATTTCCTTTCCTTCCTCCTTCTCTTGCTCTTGTCCTGTGGCCATTTCTTTTCACCTCCTTCCCCTTTCCCTGGATTTCCCCACTGGAGTTGGATGGCTTTATAACCTGCAGTGGCTCTTTTCGGAATTCCACACTTCCCCTCCTTCCTGTGAGGGCATTTTGCAGCTGCATGAAATCACCACCTTTGTGATCATTTGTGGGAGTTCCTGGGGGTGAGCAGAGCTGGCAGGGGCTGGGCAATTTTGCTTGTCCTGAGCTGGGGGTTGTTCCTGCCAGGTTCCCTCTTTCCCCAGCTTGGGGCTTGGCTGAATCCTTGTGTTTTCATGGCTTTTCTCTGGATTTGGACAAATCTGGGCATATGCCTGAGGCTGGGGGCAGTTGATGTGCAATTCCCTTGAATTTTATTTATCCCCAAGCAGCCTGGGTACAGCTGTGTGGTTTTTGATCTGATTTATGTGTCATGATTGCTCTTAAACGGGCCCTGCTCTGTCTCTCTTCTCCTGCTCTCTTTTCCTGCTCCCTGTGAGCCTCTCCTTTTTGCTCACTCCCAACTTTTGCTGCCATGGAAGTTCTCCCACAAGCTCTGAGCACACAGGCTGAGGAAAAGCTCTTGGCAGTGACTTCTCCAGGGGGTTTTCCAGGGAATATTTGATCTGCAGCCACGCTGGCTGCACCCAGAGCTCTGCATGCCCTGATCCCTCTCCCAGGTGATCCTGGAAAGCCATGAGGATAGGACAGAAGCAGCTCCCAGAGGGAACAAAGGCAGCTCTTGGAGGGGGATAGAGGCTCCAGGTCTTTGGTGGGGACGTGCCAACAGAGGAATCATGAAATCCCAGAGCCAGCAGCTCTTAGCACATCTCATGACCACTTCTGGGACAGCAAACCCCAGCCCTTTCCACATTTCAGGGAGCAGAAAGTGCCGCCGTGGAGCCACCTGCCTGCCAAGAGAGATGTGTGTGGCATTTTGGGGTGAGACCCCTCTGTGCCACCTGCCAGAGCTGTCCTGTGAGAAGGGAGGTGAGATCAGCTGCAAAGGTGCTGGGCTCTGACACGCTCACACCTCAGCCCTGCTGCAAGAGCCTGGCCCCAAAAGCAATTTAACACAACCACAGAAAGGCTGGAGGAAACAGAAAGGCTCTAACAGAGAAAAGCTGTCTGCAAGGGAAAGCAAACGTGACCTTGTGTGTCCTTCCTGCTGCTGCAGCCTGGAGAATCACAGAGCATTCTGGACTGGAAGGGACCCACAAGGATCCAGCCCAGCTCCTGATGAAAGGCCATCCAGGGACTGAACCTCAGCGTTTTTTGGCTCTGCCCATCCCAGCTTTGTCCTCCCTCAGTGCCACCACAAGGACAGCAGGACGTGGCTGCAGCTCTTGCTGGAGGCAGGCACGCAGGGTTGGCATCTTGAGGTGGCAGCTGCTGCTCCTCCCCTCTGCCCTGCTGTGCCCAGCTGTGCATGGATATCCTGGATGGAGCCGAGCTCCTGACAGCACAGGGATTGCCCAGGAGCTTTCACAGGGCTCAGATCACCTGCCCTGAGCTAAAGGCAGCACAGAAAGGGCTGCAGGAGCTCTGCTGCTCTCCCAGCCCATGGAACAAGCCCCACCATCCCAGGCTGTGCTGTTATTCCCACCCTCAGCCAGGATCTCCTGCCACATCTCCGTGGGCTGTGACACCTTCTTCAACTTTGACTCCCTGAAGCATCTCCAGCCCAAAATCCAGGGGCAAAAGGGCTCCAGGCACCGGGAGAATTTGAGATATCCAGGTCTGCTGGTGCCAGCTGAGCATCCAACACGGGATAAAACGAATAAATGCTGCCACGGTGTGGCCAGAGCTGGGCAGGGCTGGGACACACGGCCGGCTCTGTGGCACTGCCTCGGCTCTTGGTGACCTGCAGGGGAAAGCTGGAGAGCACGGAGGAAAGGACAGCCCATCCCAATCCCAGGGCAGGCAGTGGGATGGAGCCCCTTGGCTTGGGATGTGTGAGTTTGGGAGAGATCCTGACTGGGAGAAAACTCCCTGGGCTCCAGAGCTGGGGACTTGCTGCAATCTTGGCCTTGACTCCTATCCTGGGGCTGCAGAAACAAAGCTAAAATCAGAAAGAAAATCAGACTGATACTCTTCTTCTGGGAAATTCTGGCTCCTGATTTATGTTCTGGTTCTCCTTTAGAAGAAGAAGGGAAGATGCAACCTGATGATGATGAGGAGGAGGAGGCAATGCCCAAAGAAACATCCCTGTCCTCTTCCCAGCTCCCACCGTGGTGCTGGCAAGGTTTCCCTCCTGCCCTGCCTCCTGCCTGCCTGCTGTACCACCTCCCACTGGATTGTTTTGCTTTTTGTGCCTCCCAAAGCTCATCAGCTCCATCTCCCTCCCAGGGGAGCCAGCAGGGCAGCCCAGCCCTCCTGCCATGGGTCTGCAGAGGGTCTGTGCCAGGCAGAGAGCTCAGCAAACACCTGGAGGGGAAATGCTGGTTTAGCGCTCCTTACCTGGACCTGGAGCAGAAACCCCTCCCTGCCATGAAGGTCCATGAGGTTAAACCCCCCCAGGGCCCTGAGCTGCCTCTGCTCCTGCTGGCTCCTCACCAGCTGCACCACTGGGAATTTTGATTCACTCTTTGCTGTTGAGTCAGTCTCAGACGTCTGAACTGCTCCCCTTCATCCCCTCCACCTGCAGGGGCTTCACACTCCCCTCGAGCTCCATTTTCTCCCTTAGCAACAGGGGAAAGAAACTTGTGGATGTGCTTTATTATTCCTGAGATGTGGCTCTTCCAGCCTGGCCTCTGCTCATCTCCCTGTGGCCTTTCTGACGTGCAGGTGAAGCAACAAAATCTCTGCTATGAACACAGAGGGAGGTGGGTCTGCCCCAGCCTGGGCCCTGAGCTGTTCCAGGGGTCACACACACAGGGGTTGTGCCTCTGGGGCACTCAGGTGACAAACCTGTCCCCTCTGGGTGCCTGCTGCCCACCCCTCCTGTGCTGGACCTGAGGGACCCAGCCTGGCTCTCCTGAGGACCTCCACCACCCCAGTTTGGAGCAGCTCTGCTCCTTTTCACTCTCCAGGTGTTAAAGAGTCCCTTCTCTGAGCAGGAGGTTTGATTTTCAAGACACTACAAAGTGGGTTTTTTTGCAAAGATTTCACTTTCTAATTCTTTCAAGTGTCCACAGAGAGTCATTATGTGGATTTGAAATCCCAGGGGGAAAGGTTCTGTGTTTTCCCACCCTGCTGTGCCCACCAGCAGGGAAAAACCACTCAGTGCAAGGGTATCCAGTGCTGTGCTCTTGGTGGTTTCTGAGGTTTCATCTCCTGGGAAGGGCTGCCTGGGAGTTTGTTGTTCTTCTGTTTATGAGAGACAA